TGGATGTTTTTTAGTGTATTGATCAGGTCATTGTATCAAATCATTGTAATACTTAAATTATTTTATATATCAATGTCATAGAATATACATGCTTTCCCATAAGCTCTGACTTCTCTTGGTATAACTGCTTTGCAATGGAGGTGAGTGAGTGGTGTTTAAATGGGGCTGTGTGCTCTCAAGTACATTTCTCTTCACATTAACTACATGAACTCACGCAATTAACTTCTCTGTGTGTCAGTTGCTTTATCTGTAGAGTTACGATGACAGCAGTGTCTACTATAAGACTTCTGTGGAGACTGGCTGAGTTGGTTGTGCAAAACACATTACACTATCACAATAATGATTCTAAACCTAAGCAACTATTTCTATTACACACTTGCTTGTCATCAAGATATGAAGATTTTTTTCCCACTTGTATGTTTTGTGCAGTCTCGTGTAAGTTGAGGTTTATGTACAGACTATATTCACTATCAAAACAGTCACTTAGCTTACCATCTTCAGTTGTCCCTAAAGACCCATCATCTACTGAAATGAGACCTGGACCAAGAGGGCAAGCAGCTGGGAGAATACTCAGAACCCTTAAATTCCCTGTAGTTAGAACCCTTTGTTGTCATTGGCCAAAGACAAATCGTTAAAATTCCATAGTTAGCAAAAGGTATCGCAGGTACATATAGACAAAGTAACCACTAACCCACAGCCTCTGCTCAGCATTCATTTCTGGAAATAAGCAGTCTGTGAGCAGAGAAACAAAATGTACTATGCATGAGTGAAGAAGATTAGCATGGCTTAATGTGCTCTGATAAAAACAGTTTGGGAAACAGCAAGCCTTGCCACAACAAAGAATATGTTTTGCTTCCTGGAGAGATGGCGAGATAAGGTGTGACCTACTTTGCTCATAATGGGGCCACCCCCTGGACAATACTTTGATTCGTTGACAAGGAGATGATCCAAAACTGCTATACTTTCTGCCTAAGCCGTAAAACAAATAACGTTGGCCCCAGTGGTGAATCTGTGGGGCTAGAGAAATCGTAAGTACGACAGAAACATCTACTTTAAATGTGTTTCTACAAAAGCTGTGTTACGCTCTGAAACAGATCATCACCAGAGTTTGATGCCCTCTTGATAATTAGCCCAGCATTTGTGAAAGTCCATTTGGACAATAGCAAAATATAAATCAAGATCTCTGTTGAGAGGCTGGGGATATGGCTCAGTAAATAAATGAAGTGTTTGCCGCAAGACGTGAGTACCCGAGTTCAGATCCCCAGCATTGTATAAAAATGCAGAAATCCAAGCACGGCAGCACACATGTGTAATTGCAACATGAAGAAGGGACAAGCAGAGACAGGTGGGTCCCAGGACTCACTGGACAGCCAGTCGAGACAAGTTCCAAGTTAGAGTAGGATGAGAGACAGAGACAGAGAGACACAGACACAGAGAGAGAGAGAGAGAGACCCCCACATATGTCAACTCATTCAGGAGCACCTACACCCATGGACACACGCATGAATATACACCACATGCACAAGGAAGAGAGAGATGTCTATTGATCAGTGAACATAATGATTGAAAGCGTATTCCAGAGTGTAATTCATTTCAGAAGAATAAAACTGCTTTATTGCCTTGTAACAACCACCAAATTTAATTTAAATGAACAATCCATTCTTTTTAATACAAAATGGTTCCTAAATCTTTTGGGGGCACGTTTTAGGCATCTTTAGTTTGTGGGTTGCTTACTTATTTTAAAGTCAAACAGAGACTAGTTGTTACCGAAGATGACGCTTATGCATATAAACTTTGAGGCAATGTGCCTGCGCTGTAAGATCTAAGATTACTTGAGATCTGTATCTCCAGATCATGTTGCTACACATCAGAATATCCCACTCCTTTTCGATTGCATCTTTAAAGCCTTGCTTTGGCAATTTCTTTCATCAGTGATATCAGAATGCGGTTTTATTTCAGTTACATTTCTCCTGGGATACCTCCCACTCCACACGTGCCAGTGCCATGTAAAACTGTGGCTCCACAGGAAATTAGACCTACAAGGATCTTAGAGGCTTCTTTTTGTTAAAGCGGTTCCTCTGTCCTGAACGACCGGGACTTATTTCGGTCAGAGATACTGCCTATCTGCATTCCTCGTTCCCTGTTAAAAAATCTGATTAATCCACGGGCCTTAATTAAATCACCGCTAACTGCACACTGTACATTATCTATATTCTACAGAACCTGCCAGCATCAGTTTTCACAGAGTATTCCCAAGGGGAAGTGTGAAAAGCTAAGGTGTGAGGTCAAGCTGGCCTTTCAGAGACGTTCCCACCGCAACCATCACCTCACTAGCCCTGTGTGCGGAGATTGGTTAAGATGACGCGCTTCTTTTTTAGTGTTTAACTTTCTTATTTTTTTATTTTAAAAAGTGATCAAGGTGCAAAGTGGGAAGCAGGACAAACACTGCGCAAGCACACACAGCTACGCGCCCTCAGTCCCCCAGATGGTAAAGAGCTTATCTTGCTTAGAATCAGGATAATATTGCAAAGTTTAATTCTAGAACAAATTATTATTTTCTTTTTCTTATTTGCCTTGTGGTATTATAATTTATCATATAGAGGTACTCGGAGCCAAAGATTGCCCAAAGCATTAAGCTAATTTCTTTCCTTGACATTAGTTCCAGCTAATTCCTGCAAGTATCAAGAGACCCCATGTCAGTGACTGGGCTAAATTTGATTTCCTAAGCTTCATTTGCAAATATCGAATCTTACGTTTTCCAGGTTCATAGACTAGAATATGTATATTTACAAAAGGATAAATTCCTCACCAAATCTGGCGGACTGTTTATTGCATGGCATGTTGTGATCTCTCCGGTGTTAATGCTTTGGTTCCTACATGCTAACACGAAATTCTTTCATTTATTTTCATTCATGGATCATCACTGGTCTTGGAGATAGCTCAGGGATGCACAACATGCTTAGCGTATTCAAAGCCCAGGATCCCATCCTCAACCCTGCCACACACTCAATAAAAGAATCAGTCTATTTTATTTTTTATTACATTTTATTTATTTCAGGGGACCTGCCAGAGCATGCAAGTCCAGGGAACAACCTTTAGGAGTTGGTTCTCTCCTCCATCCTGTGGGTCCCAGGAATTGAATCCAGGTCCGCAGGCTTAGCCGTAAGAGCCTTTCCCCAGTGAGCCATCTGAAGGCACAGATCCTAATTCAGAAAAATGCATTCTTCCCATTGTTTGTGGTAGCTTCCCAATCCTTCGTTACGTCTTTCAGAGGATTTCTATGAATAGATCCTCTAAGACAGAGTTTGGCTTACAGAACAATTGTGTGGGCTTGCCAGTGTTTCAAAATAAAAACTGGGGGCTGGAGAGGTAGGTAGGTGGCTAAGGGTACTTACTGCTCTCGCAGAGAACCAGAGTTTAGTTCTCAGAACCCAATGGTGTGGCTCACATCTGTCTGTAACTAAAATTCCAGAGGATCCAGTGCCTTCTCTGCTCTCCTTGGCTCTGAGCTCCTGCACACATGTACACACACACACACACACACACATGTACACACACACATGCATGCATGTGCACACACTCACATATAAAGACGCATGCACACACATGCACACATGCATGCATACACACTCACATGTTCACACACAGGCACACACTAACACAACACTCACTCACATGTACACACATGCATGCACACACTCTCATATATGCACTCACATGCACACACATGCACACATGCATGAACATACTCATGTGCACACACTAACACACATGTACACACATGTGCGTGCATGCACACACTCTCCTATATGCACACGCATGCACACGCATGCATGCATGCACACTCACATATTCACACACAGGCACACACTATAACACACATGTACACACTCACTCACATGTACACACATACACACATGCACACACATACTAAATGAGTAACTTAACCTTGTACTGACTGTTTTTCTGTCTGTTGTCTTATTATATATGCTGGTGAATCCAGTCAAAACTCCAACCTCCACTAATGCCAGTCTTTCAATAATATCCATCAGAAATTTTATTTCTCATCTTTAATACCATAATAGTGTATTTTAAAATGATCCATGCTTAAATAAAACTTTGGTTGTATAGCCCTAAAGCACATTTTCCCAGGCTTCTCAATTAACTTTCAGATCTGAATAATACCAGCATGATAATCCTAAAATTTTAAGGCTAGTTTCTGTTTAAATCTTTAATACAGGCCTGCAGTCTGCACAGTGGGTCAGCAGTTGTCACCCCACTGTAGAGAAGATAGCACCTTAGCAGGGTAGGGACAGACTCTGTGCTTTAATACGCACAGGGCTTTAGCAGAGCGCACACTGGGTCATGCTGGGAAATGGGGAGTGGCTGGCTGTGTAGTGAGCATGGCCTCCAGTGCAGACTCATGGGTTTTTTTTTTTTTTTTTTTTTTTTATCTAACTCTAAAAGCTGGACTGTTCATTTTCCTGCTGGTGCATAGCAAACTGCCCTCAAACCAGCTGCTCGCGATCTGTGTGGTGATAACTGCTCTCGGTTCTCAGGGTCTCCTGGGGCTCAGCTGCGTGGTTTGGCTGGTTTTATTTGAGGTCTTTCATGGAGTTTCAGTCTATGGCGGGGGAGCTGGAGTGGGCACAACTACTTCAGGCCTGCGCTCAGCTGGGACATTGAGACAGCCAATCCTCTCCTTCAAATGACCTCTGGGCGTGGTCTCTCCATCACTCTGGCTGTCGTTTTGCATGCCACTCAGGAGGTTAAAAGCACAAAAAGCAGAAACTTCAAGATGACCTTAAGTCCTCATTCCTGAGTCACATTAGCGACTTGCTCTTGGGTGAACCGCCTCGCAGCATCCGCTCAGGTTGAGTCTGAAGAGAAAAGCAGGGTCCAAGGCATTGGGGCCATCTTTAAAGGTCAGCCACTTACTATAAGGATTAAGTTTTTCTTCCTTCCAGTAAAACGCCACTTCCTCTCCACTCCTTTTCTAGTTCCTTGTGTCCCTGGCGGTTTGCCTAAACCTACAAATATCACCTTCTTGTCTATCAACATGAAGAATGTCCTGCATTGGAATCCACCCGAGGGTCAACACGGAGCTGAAGTCACATACACTGTGCAGTATTTCATGTAAGTTGCTTCTTTTCCTTACACGTAGTTCATAAATATGAGACTCAGACCCTGTTAATCATGCAATGGTAAACTTTCTATGGCATTAAGTTCTTTTAAAGAAAAGTTTGGACATTTCCTGTTTCTTTGCTATTATGATAAATTATAAAGTGGTTTTGTTGCGGAGTCAGAAGCACCAAATATTCAGGCCAGAGCATTAGGAGGTACCTTACAAAAACTGAGAAAGGAGACCAGCAAGATGGTTTGACAGGTTAACATACTTACCACCAAGCCTCAGGACCTGAATTCCGTTCTTGGGACCCACATGTTGGAAGGAGAGAACTGCCTCCAGCCAGGTGTCCTCTCTCACCCACACGCACACTGTGGTACATGCGTGTGCGTGTGTGCACACATTGGTGCACATGCATATACACACAGACGAAATTACAATGGATGAAATGAGTGGAGAAAGGAAGTCGGTTAGAGAGGTAGTTCGTGTATGCAAATGAAGCAGGCCACCAACTCTGAGACCGCTAAGATTATGGGAATTATGGTTCTCAGCTCAAACAAAGCAGAATTCTAAGTGAATCCTACTAAACATAGCAGCAAATGGACACTTTGCACCTGCCCTCCAGGACCCTTTACCAAGCACGGAAAAAGCCAAAATACTCAAGACAGTGTTCATCTCCAGAGACTAAAGGACCCCCAACCGTGAAGCAAGCAAACCAAATACTGTAGAACCCAGAGTGAAACAACCACAGACACCAAAAGCAAAACAGCTCCCCCTCCTTTTTTTTTTTTTTTTTTTTGAGACAGGGTTTTTCTGTAACTTTGGAGCCTGTCCTGGAACTAGCTCTTGTAGACCAGACTGGCCTCAAACTCACAGAGATCCACCTGCCTCTGCCTCCCAAGTGCTGGAATTAAAGGCGTGTGCCACTACTGGCTGGCACTTTTTTTTTTTAAGAACGGCTTTTTATTTAAGATTTAAATTTTCTTGATGTGTATGTGCTTTTGCATGTGTAAGTGTCTGTGTGAGTGTATGTCAAACATGTGTGGGTGCCCGTGAAGACCAGAAGAGGGTCCAGACCTCTTGGGGACTTGAGTTTCCCAGCCCCTGGTTTGGATGCTGTAAAGTTCTTAATCACTGCGCAACCTCTCCAGCCCCACACGGCTACCACTGGAGCTCTACGAGTAAAAATAATTCCTCAGCAATAAGTGCCAACGTGCTCAAAAGGCTGGCCCAACACTCTGAGAAGGGGTATGTTAGTGTTCTTACAGCTAGAAACTGGTGAGACAGCCCTAAGGAGCCACAGTTTGGTTCCGCAGAATCTCATGGGAAGAAGAGCTGAAGTGACAGCTCATCATGGGGGCCCAGTCACAGTGCAGCGACAACCCTAGAGTAAAGAGAGGCAGGAAGAAAGGAGGTGCAGAGGATGGTTGGCAGCCCAAGCTGACCATGACCTCACCGCAGTGCCGTGAGCCACACCAGCCCCCAGGAGGCCAGGAGCTGAAGGCAGGCAGGGGCTCCCGCAGAGGGAATAATAGATTTGATAAAAAAAAAAAAAAAAAAAAAAAGTATTTGACAGAAGTAGAAGTTTAAAATTCTGCACAGAAAAGCTCATTATCTGACTCCCACGCCTACACCTCAGACTTTTAAATACTATTTTAGTCTTTCCACAGTTCTCAGGGTCTCGTGGGCTGGGAGGGTTGGTGCTTTCATTGGTTTCATTTGAGATCTTTTCTACAGCTTTCTGTCTATGACAGATGAGGCTTGCCTGATCAGCCAACAGGTAGCCAGCCACATTCAAAGCACTAGTGAGAAATTAGGATAACACCTAATTTGAGCATGAAGGGGAAAGTGAGTTTGAATAAAAAGTTCCTCCAAGACCATTCCCATTGGGAATAAGCAAAGAATTCAGAGTAACGGTCTGTGCTGTTTTATTTTATGAACAGCACAACCTTTTCAGTTTGCTCGCCCTTGTTTTCGACATGCCCCCCCCCAATTCTTCTACCTAGCTCTCAAGACCCGGGATTATAGGCATATACTGAGAAATAGGGCTGTTTATAGACTTTTTCTAGACTGATTTGTGACAGGAAGCGTAACTGTAGAACTTCATCTTTTCTTGGCACCCAGGAGAAACTGGTTCCAAACCCTCCACAGTTTTACTAGACCTTTCCAGAAGGTATCTGCCTATAATCTGCACATACCCTCCCATGGTCTTTAAGCCACCCGGGGTTGTTATACTACAGGCTACCAGTGTAAATGCTATCAAAGTACTGCCATACGGCAAATGTTCAGGAAAGATGCAATCCCTTCTCCAATGCTTTTAATCCATGGTTGGTTGAACCTACAGACTTGGTACCCATGGGTACCAAGGATGGACAGCACATCATCGTGTCGTTAGCTAACATTTCAGTGGTTTTCAAAACCGGTTTCCTTACTTCAAAGGTCATGAGGAACTAATATTTCTCACAGTGACAGAACACTTGAACTTCAGCAAATTCTTTTCATTTTACCTCATTCCTTTTGATTAAGATTCAAATCAAGTAAAAGTCGTTGCTTTATTAGAAACCCGCTTCAGGTATGACCTGATTTCTGTCCACGTAACTGTCTAATCATTCTTCCTTCTATAAGTAGGATAAAAAGCCCGGCATCACTTACACCAAATGTTTCTGGTTAATGAGTTAGAGTGATCTGCTTCTCCCTTGGTTATACTTCCTGACTTGTATGATGGTTTGAACTTTAAAACACATGCATGCGCCACATTTGCCAGTGACAATGACCATTTTTGTCCTTGGGAAATGAGTTCTGATCAGGGAAACTTCAGGAAACACTCCTTCGCCGTTGTCTTGAGCCCCATTCTCACCTCCGAGGATGCTGTCAGGAGCTGGTGTTTAAAGGAAGACCTCAGCTTCGCAGAAAGCGATAGCTCACCAACTTCTCCTCACTCTTCCTCCCATCGGGTGGGGCAAAGAGCTTGCTCTGTCCTGTAGACTTCCCAGGGCTTCTGAAAGTACTTTAAATGATAGTCAGGGTTATCGTTGCCATATGAGAACAAATAAGTTAAATTATGCAGCTTTTTAAAAGGAGCACTTAAAAAGACACTTGCCCCATGGGTATTCGGACACACTCGGGTATGTACCAGTGGACAAGAACATGGGTGTAGTGCTGGAGTCAAGACAGTCCTGGGTTTGTGGCCAGGTTGTGAGTCTGCCCGAGCAACCTTGAGCGTGGTACACACTTTTATAGTGTTTAGTGAGGTTTTGTTTCCAGAGCAAAATTGTTTAAAGTTTCAGTTTTACTCACAAAATAATTTAGTGTGGAAAACAGCATAGCTCCCAAAACACCAGCTTTGGTGCTGGAGAAAGCGATTCCAATTCCAGATAAACCTTTTTGCTACTTCTGCAAACTTGACTGGATCCCTTCATTGTACTGAGTTTCAATTTCCTGCTCTGTAATAATGGGACAAGAACAAGGAAGCTCACTTCCCCTGCGTCCTTCTTCAACTTGCTACAATAGGGGGAAATGTGTAAGCCTGGAGTACCAGCCTCAGCTCATCACAGGCATTCATAGACGTTGGCGCTTACTAGAAATAGATGGAGACCACCAGCAAGGCCCCCACGGGATTGGGGTTGGACTATTTGTCAGGTCTCCCAAGCAGGTATCAGTGACCGGCATTTTCTTCTCGGTCAGCATCTACATGGTAAGAAGGTGCCCTGCCTTTGGTGGAGTGAGGCAGTTTACAGAAGGGAACACAAAGGAAGTAATGACAGCATTTCTCCCACTTCAAGTCAAAACCTGTTGACAGGTTAAGAAGGCAACATGAGCCCATATTCCTAATCCTAACATCTGGAAGGTCAAAGCAGGAGAATCAGGAGTTCAAGGTCATTGTCAGCTTCAGTGTGAGTTCAAGACTAGCCCGGACCACATGAGCCTCCCATCTCAAAAGACCAAAAACAATAAGAAGAAATTGACGAGTAGATCAGTTTTGAGTAACATAAATGGTATCTTGTATGGAAAGAATTGGAGTGGTATGGAGTGGCAAACAGCCAAATGCATAGCTAACAAAGATGTTTGGGTATAATCTGGTAAAACCTGTTTCTGTGCCTTAGTACAAATGTAACTATCTATGTAAATATAGATCCATTTTTCCTTTATCAGAAAGTCTCCAGGCACGGTTGATAACCTGCAAGGAGACGATGATTAAGATCTGACTGCACTTCTAACATCTTTTTGCAGATGTGGCATTTATGGAATAAAAGAGATTCGCTTCAGAACTCTGTTGCCAGATTTTTGACGACTTTGGCAATACACAGGAAGGTTGCCAAACCCTCCTTATCAAGACAAACTCTTCCCAAGACTTTTGTTATGAATGCTCCTCCACTCGCCCCTTTTGCTGCTATTCCCAAGTCTGTTTTATGGCCCCTTTAATGTTCCTGAACCTTTTTTTTTTTGTACAGCTTTAATTACTTTTGTCCTTCTTAAACTTCTCTACTTTTGCCCATAAAGTAATCACAAAAGCAACACTGCTATAAAACATTGTTTTCACTTTATGAGACTTTGTTTCCTTAATCTTTTTTATTGATTTTATTGAGCTCTACATTGCTCCCCTCCCTGTCTCTCCCCTCCCCTTCAACCCTCTCCCATGGTCCCCATGCTCCCAATTTACTTAGGAGATCTTGTCTTTTTCTACTTCCCATGTAGATTAGATCCATGTATGTCTCTCTTAGGGTCCTCATTGTTGTCTAGGTTCTCTGGGATTGTGATTTGTAGGCTGGTTTTCTTTGCTTTATGTTTTAAAACCACTTAGGAATGAGTACTTGTGATAATTGTCTTTCTGGGTCTGGTTTACCTCACTCAAAATGATGTTTTCTAGCTCTATCCATTTGCCTGCAAATTTCAAGATGTCATTATTTTTTTTTTCTGCTGTATAGCACACCATTGTGTAAATGTATATATCCAAAGGATGCTCAGTCATGCTCCTGAAGTTTAAATGCAGACTTTGCTCTGGGTATTCCTGCCTAAGCCATCCACGAGCAATTTGAGCATTGACTCCAGAATCACTACCTCCCACTCATACCTGTCTCTTGAACCCTGAGCGCCAGCATTTGGAAGACTCTTAACACACCTCAAACTCAGCCTGGCACTGCTGAATTTATTAGATTTTCCTCCTCCTATCCTTCCCCTCCCCAATCTCCCAAACTCACTCTTCTTTGGTGATCTTTATCAGATCAATTATATTCTCTCCTCTTGCCCTGACCGGGAAGAGGTATTTCATCATCTTTAGTTATCTCTTGCATGCGCTCAGTCACCTGGTCCTGGCTCCTACAAGATCTTCTTTCTGTTGTGTCCTCACTCATCTCACTACCCCTTCCCACTCACTCCCTGGACCACAGCGGTGTCCTCCACACTGCCCTCTAGAGGCGACCACCACACACTACATCCTCTGGAGATGACTGCTTGGCCTTCTAAGCCGTGGCCTTTTGGCTTGTTCCCCAAAGCCCTGCTTTAATCCCTTCAGTAGTCTGCCTCCAGGGCGACCCTATCTCTCTGACTGACAAACGTTTTATGCCACAGTTTCTTTAAGCTGAGAAATGCTGAAAATACTTCCCCTCCCCATTTTCTTTGGAGGTTGTATTTTAACGGCAACAACCACAAGAAATTATAAACAACCTTCTCAGTTCAGTAGCAATATGGTGATGGTACACGCTCACGCACTGCATCCTAGTAAAATTTCCCCCAGGCTCTTAATACTTAGTAAACTTTAAATTTTATGAGAATGTCAAAGTAATAGCTCTTCCAATAAAAAAAAGACTAACTTTCCTTAATGCATCCACCTCTCTAACCTCACATGTGTAAGTATATAGTAGAATAAAAACTTAATTACTAGAGACTGATCGCACAGTATTCAAAAATGTTACTGTCGCTGAAGTATGAAACTCCAATATGCTTTCAGGCCGCACTATCCACATTCTAATTCACAGAAAAGCAAAGTGTTGGTAGAAACTCTGTCTCACGCTCCTGACAGCTAATAAAAATATCGACCACAGCCAAAGGGGATTCCCATCGATCAGAAAGACAGGCATCTGTGTTTTGCTGAAGAGACGGTCTCCCATCCACTTTTCTTAATGATGTTTTTAAATTGTAAAGCCTGCAAGGGGCCTCATTGCTAACTCGTCGTTTCTTTCTTGGCAGATACGGCCAGAAGGAATGGCTGAGTGTGTCTGAATGCAGAAGCATCGGCAGGACCTACTGCGATCTTTCTGCTGAGACCTCAGACTATGAGCACCAGTACTATGCCAAGGTGCAGGCCGCTTGGGAAACCAAGTGTTCCGAATGGGCTGAGACGGGACGGTTCTATCCTTTCCTAGAAAGTGAGTAACACCGCTGTCCGCTGAGCATGTTCTAATCGGGATTCCTAGCATGGTACTCTGGCCTCATGGGCAACTTTGCCCAGGGAAAAGGGTCTGCTTGACTCTGGTCTGTGGAGCAGGTTGAGAACCAGCCCTGCATTTCATGTGGGTGAACCCCAGAATCTAACCTGTAGATTGATAGGTTTGGCCAAGGTATCATTAAGGTCTCTCTCAGATTCAAAGTTAAAGACAGCTGCCTATAATACCAAACTTTTATTTTGTCTTATCATTTTTTTATCATAGAAGAGGCTATGCATTCAAAAATATATTGTGGGTGAGTAAGTCATGGATATGTTCTCTGATTGCACAGCAAAATCTCGTTTTTATTAAACGTGGTATTGTGCTGTTTTTTTCTGGGTGTAACTCAGAATTAAGGCAAGAATGTTCCTGATATTTGCTTTTATTTTTTGCTATTTTTTCTTTGTTTTCCCTTTCTTTTTTTTGTCATTCTTTTTCCTTCCCCTTATATGTGACTGACCCAACCATGAGGGATGCAGGCAGGGCCACCATAATGAAACGTCCAAGGCCACAGAAGCCCCAGGGGGTGGTCCCTTTTCTAGGGGTCTGTCAGGTCTGTCAGAGGTTGGTGTCCCATCTCCTCAGGTCAGATCCGGCTCCTCTGTTTTTCAACAAGGCATAAGAAAAGAATGCTATTTATATTTTTAAAATAGCTTTTAAAAAAAACAGTATTTTTGACACGTGAAAATGACGTGAAGTTTACATTTCAATGTCAGGGGCTGGAGCAATGGTTCAGCAGTAAAGAGCACATGTTGTTCTTTGCAGAGGACTCGGGTTTAGTTGCCAGCACCCACGTGGCTCACAACCACGTCTAACTTCAGTTCCACAGGATCCGACACCCTCTGCTGGCCTCCACTGGAAATGAGTGTGCTGTGGTATGCAGGCAAACACCCATACACATAAAATAAAAATAAATTTTAAAAATAATCTAGAAAAGATTTTTGCAGACTTCAGTGTCTGTATATAAAGTTTTCCAGAACTCCAACCCTGCTCACTTATTTACACTGAGGCCAATGACTGCTTTTGAGCCACAAACTGAGTGGAGTCCTTGCAGCAGAGATGCCGGTCCTGCAGAGAGCTTCTGGGCTTTTATGGTGAAAGGATCTCCCATAAAAGGGTGGTTTTAGGTCTTCGATCCAAGAAAGGTTGTGCTGTAACTTTATCTCGGGGTTGTTTCACGCCTGAAGATGCTAATACCGTCTTCTCCTCTAAGCACAAGTTGGCCCGCCAGAGGTTGTCCTGAAAACGGGAGAGAAGTCTGTCTCTATTGTCCTGATAGCACCGGAGAAGTGGAAGATAAATCCCGAAGATGACCCTGTCTCTATGCAGCAGATATACTCCAATCTGAAGTACAACGTGTCTGTGCACAACACTAAATCACGAATGGTGAGCCCTGCCGGGGATGGGGTCTGTCCTCTGGGCTCCCTTTCTGTGCTGCCACAAGCACGGGCAATTCTGCTGCTTCAGTTCTCTTCCGAGAAGGTGGAGGCTGATACTATTCAGAAGAGATATTGCGCAAGATAAAATGAGAGCTGAGGAGACTTCTGGCCTTTCAGTGTGTGACGTCACAATCGGAGTGTAGAACAATCGGGCATTTTTCACCTGGGGAAGCTTCTTTACTGACACATCATCTCTCAGACACTTTCCAGGGATTATTGATATATGAATATATTATATGCTATATATTGTACACATATATATGTATACACACATGCATATATATGCAAGAAGGCAGGGCCAAGTTAAGCAAGAACTCTACCTTAAGAATGGGTCCACTTCTAACTATGTTCTGCTCAGCTAAATGAAAATATATTTTTAAAACTACACTGAGAAAAATAAAAGCTTATAATTTATGACAGGAAGGATCTGGTGGCATCTTGGCCCTTCCCTTCTCCCTCGAGCTGTCCTGGGGAGGTCCTGGGATTTTTGGCTCTAATCTCGGTTTGCACTTCCCTGCCCCAGTGGTCCCAGTACATCACCAACAGCACACTGGAGTTCACCTGGCTGGAACCAAGCATTCAATACTGCATCCGCGTGGAGTCTTTTGTCCCAGGGCCCCCTCGTCTCCCTCTGCCTTCTCAAAAGCGATGCTTCAGTACTTTGAAAGGTAAGCTGTGAGAGATTTTAGCTAGCTTCAGGAAAGAAAGCTGATAAAACAAAAAGTACGACAGTTTAGATAGAGTCTATGAATATCAGGTTTGAAACAGTAGTAAAATGTCTACTTCACTAAATGCATTGAACTATCTGCCATTGAGCTTGGTCACTATTAGGGAGGGTTGTTGCAACATCTGAAAAATGTCAGCAAGGCCCAGTAGTCCATTGGCAACCATCCTCCCCAATTAACAGAGCTTTCTACCTTGAGAAACAGAATTAAGAATTTTCATGAGAAATGGGTGGTGGGAGCCCATGCCTTTAATCCCAGCACTTGGCAGACAGAGGCAGGAGGATCTCTGTGAGTTCAAGGCCAGCCTGATCTACAAGAGCTAGCTCCAGGACAGCTAGGACTATTACAAAGAGAAACTCTGTCTTGAAATCCCACCTCCCACAAGAAAGAATTTTCATATATGTCATTTCTTCTTCTATCCAGCCATAGTCACTCTAACCAAAAACTGTACAGTAGGAAGCAAAGCACTGTCCTGTGAACACTTGCAGACACCACTGCTTTGATTCCCCCTTGGGATACAGGCTCCTCAAGTTGCCTTCAGACATCACCTGTCACTTTCAGTCACAGGCAGACGTGGAATCATCAGAATCACTCTCCTACGATTGCTTTTCTCTGCCTCCTTCTTGGGTTTTCCAAGCAAGGCTCCCAAGGAACTGTTGTCTTGAGTGCTTCTTTTAAAAGACCTGGAGTTATGAGTCTTGTGTTTGTTTAATAAGCCTACCCTACAGAGAGAACTTCAACTCAAACCCTAAAAAGGGGGGGAAAATACATAGACCCTCAAGTTCCTCTGCCTCATCAGATAGTGTTCATCCCTTATCATTCTGACCTTCCCCTCTAACAACCTCTTGCGGGTTCTGGTTCTTCCCCCATCCCTGACTGAGAGCCCACATCCCTTACCAGTCAATGTCTACACACACCTTTAATCCCAGCATTTAGGCGGCAGAGGCAGGTAAAACTCTAAGTTTGAGGTCAGCCTGGTCTATAGATCAAGTTCTGGGTCAGTCATGGCTACACAGAGAAACCCTGTCTAGAAATTTAGAGAAAAAGAGCCCCCAGTTCCAGGCTCAGTACCGCCCATGCCCCACCGCCACCCTGTTGCTCCCCTCTTCCGTTTCTATTGTACCTGGGAGTCTCACTTCACCATGCCATCTCTTTGGCAAGAAAGGATGTTCTACGCAAATATACAAGTAGAACGCAAATGCCAAGCAAGCAAGAAAGGGACACAGAGCAGGCTGGAGGTATAAGTTTTGTGTCTGGAATAAGTTCTGTGTTTCCTAACAGCTTGATAAGTGCCAATAACAGGGCATTGACCTACCGTCCAATGGAGCTTGCTTACTCAACGGGCAGAGCTGAGACAACCAAATACAGCTCACCCAACATCTTCTCTGTAAGAACATGGAACCCATTTCCTTGCCAGTACAGTAAAAGGAACAGATACAGGCACCCCATATCTGGTATTGATGCTTCCCATAATATCCCACCCAGTCAATGACTGAGCATACCTTCCAAGACACTGCTTCCTTTATTTTAAAAAAAAAAATCAATTTTATCTCTTTAGGGACTATGCCTTAAAAAATATCTCTGCTCCAGAAGTTTCTCAACTAACCCCCCCCCCAAGTGAAAACTGTTGAAGGAGCAGCGGGCTGCTTCCTGTCGCCCGGCTCCCAGCCACCGGCTAGCTTTACTTGAAATAATTACACCAAACTGTATTCATATAAACACTGCTTGGCCTATTATATCTAGCCTCTTCTGGGCTAATTCCCACACCTCAATTAACCCATTTCTAATAATCTGTGTAGCTCCAAGAGGCAGTAGCTTACCAGGAAGATTCTAGCCTATGTCCATCTTGAATCGGAGCTTCATCACATCTGACCCAGAGAGGAGAGGAATGGTGTCTGGCTCACTTCCCTTCTTCCCAGCACTCTATTCTGTCTACTCCACCTACCTAATTTTCTGACCTATTAGAGGCAAGGCAGTTTCTTTATTAACCAATGAAGCCACCTCAAAACAGAAGACCCTCCCACATCAGAAAACAAAATGTATTAGGTTTATTGTAGCAAATGTGCTATGTCACACTAAGCACCAGAAATTGTCATGATCTTCTTAGGCAGGATCAGCCCGGTCTCACAGTGAGATCAAGGGCTGTGCTGAGGGCTGAGCTGCCATCTAAGCAGAACAGGTCCCATCTGAAGTAGGACAAGTATCCAACAACCGCAGCATTTGTTCCACAGCCTTGGTGCATTTCTGTGTAAGCCAACGAGCACTCTCTCTGCGGACAGTGGAGTCAGTAAAAGAGGCTTCAAGGGATGCCCATGATGGATTTTCCCGCTGGTGTGGCCGCTCACTCCCCATCACTCTCATCATACACACATCATACACACATCCGTTTCCCATTTACGTCTGTAAATGGCAGTTAGTGGGATAGATGCTACACAGTTTTCTTTCCATCAGACAGCATCCCACATCCACATGGATGAGAACGCTCCTGTGACACAATGGCTGATCTTATTAGTATATAAAGGATGTCAAGGGTTATGTGGTTTGTGCTAAGTTTGCATGGTCTCTGTGTGTGTGCACACACATGTGCAAGCATGTACCCCAGTGTGTATTTCTGCAGCAGTTTAGAATTCTCCAGAGAAACAGAACCAACAGGATATATAGACACAAGAGAGATATTCGGGAGTCAGCTCTCCTGACTGTGTAAGCTGGAAAGTACAAAATCTTTAGAGCAGGCATCAATCTGAGTACCCTAGGGACAACTGGCATTGTAGTTCATTCCCAAATGCCACATGGGAGTAGAATTCCCTCCTCTTCAGGCTCATTGGTCTCTTCTTCTTAAGAGCATCTAATTGAGTAGATGAGACTTTTCTACATTCTAGAGAACAATTTTCTTTGCTCTAAATCTACTCTTTAAAATGCTAAATCTCATCTACAAACATCTAAAGAATCATCTGGAATGGTGTCTAGCAAGTATCCATGGCCTACACACATTGACATATAAAGTTAACCAGCACAACTTCCAAGCAGTCCCCAAGAGCTTCACAAAGGTGCCTGACTAACTCAAAGGGAGGCTTCCCATGCCTGGCACTAGGGATTTCACTAAAGAGGGTGTTTGCTGCTTGGTTTGAAGAGCTGTGAACTCCTAGGCTGACAGACCCATGGGTTTTCACATACATGAGCCAGGATCAGTGTCAGAGCATTAAAAGAGATTTCGGAATGCCTAATGTCTTATATTAGGAATGCAGACTTACTATAAAGACATGGGTGAGTTTTGACAGTGCCTTGAGACTTTCACGGTTAGAGAGATGGCAAATTCTGAGACCCCTTCCTTACTTAGCTTCTCGGCGTCTAGCTGAGAAACACAACTGTTCAGTCCTGACCCGTGATTTTTCTTTGACAGCCCGAATGTCAGCATTGAAGTTTAAAGTCATCTTCTGGTATGTCTTGCCCACGTCTGTCATCGTCTTTCTTCTTTCTGTGATTGGCTACTCAGTTTACCGTTACATCCACGTTGGCAAAGAAAAGCACCCGTCGAATTTGGTGAGTGCTTGGCACGGGGCAAGACTGTTCTGACAACAGAAAGAGAGAAGAGGAGGGTCAGAACAGATACGGTTTTCCATCAGAGCCAAGTGTCTTAAGTTGGTGGTGAATTCTAAAACACATTCTGAGCTGAGAGCAGCTGAGTAAGAGAGTCCTTCCATAGCGTGTATGCCATTCTGGGTGATACCCCCTGCACCCCAAAACCCAACAAAAAGCAGCTTTTGTACTGAATCCAATCACAGATATACCAACACTAAACCCTCCTCGGGTTTGAAACACTTTTATAATTAATAAGTGCTTGAGATAAGGTTTGGAATAAACAGATCATTTAAGTCATGATCTCTCTGTCATTCTCCAAGTTCAAGCCTCTTAGAGACTACACGTGAAGGTTAAACAAAAGAAAACAAGCTTTTGAGGACTTATGGGGTAGAAGGAAGCCCTGAAATCTTTAGTATGGGGGGGGATCCATTTTCATATTCAAGGGCATGAATGAGCTGGGACAGTTACTACAGGCAGAGAAATTAGCAGAGCAAGGGAAGGCAGATAGCATGCTGGGAAAGTTTGTCATATGACCAGCCTATTGTGTCCTCTGTGAGCAGCCACACTGGAGAGCCGACACTGGGCTGTGTCGCAGGAGTATTTGGTGCTGTTCTCAGGACTGAGCTTTGTTTGGTCTTCAGAGAATTTTCAGTAAGGTTCTGAGCTGCAATGCTATGATCACCATTTTGTTTTAGATCTTCTTGTAGAAAATAAAAGCAACTTGTCCTAGTAAAGCAAATGCAGCTAAGACGCTACCAGGGGAGAAACGAATGACAATCCCAAAGAGGAGAATGGGGCATGGGCTTAGGGATTTGGAATGTGGAATTTAAACACACTTAGGAGGCACATGGCCAGGACTTGAGCATACACTGCAAGAGGAAGCAAGATGAAGAAGCAAATGAGATGTTCTGGGACCATCTGGTGAAAAGGACCCCATGGGCTCAGCAGTTAAATGAAAGCATGTCACGGGGTGACAGGAAGATTGTACCTTGTCACTGATGCCTCCCTCGATAACAGGCACCTTCCATGTACCCCAAAGCAGAACAAAAATTATGTCTGTGTTGCTCAGGGTGGAGCTAGGGCCTTGCGCATGCAGACAGTGTTCCGCCTTTTAGCTACGTCTCCACACAATTCTTTATCTTTTCTTTTGACACAAGGTCTGACTAAATTGCTTCAGATGGTCTTTCCTCTCTTAGCCTCCAGAGTGTCTGGGGTTATTGGGGCCTTATTGATTTTCCTTATTCTTGTATATTATTGACATGATTTAGAATTTTTTTAAAAATCTCCCATAAACTAGCAGATTAATTGCTTTTTTTTTTAATTATCCTAGCACAATTTGAACATTATATTCCTGCGTCCACTCCTTTCTGGTGTTGTAACAGAGTGCTTTGACTAAATCAATTTCCAAGAAAAGGAGTTTGTTTCAGCCCATAGTTCCAAATTACAATGTAGACAAAGGCTGCTTGTTTTTTCCCAGCCACCCAGACCCAAAGTAATCACACAAAACTAATTGCAACACTGCTTGAACTATTAGCTCAGCCTTCTTACTAGCTGACTCTTACATCTTGAATTAACCCATTTCTATTAATTTACGTATCACCATGAGGCTCATGGTTTACTGGTAAGGTAAGGTTCTCCAGCATCTGTCTCCTTCTTCAGCTACACGGTGTCTCTCTGATTCTGCCTTCTTTCTCCCCTATCTCCGCTTGGAATTCCCACCTTACCCCATTCTGTGCTGTCATAGGCCCAAAGCAGATTCTTTATAAGCCACTGGCAATAAAACATATTTATAGAATAAAGATGGGAATCCCACATCATTACAGCCCATCATTGGGAATGGGGGAAGATGGTGGGGGCTTGAAGCAGAATATCACAGAGAACAATGGTTTAATGGCTCCAAAGCCCAGCCTAGGGAAAGATGCTGACCACGTCCAGGGTGTGTCCTCCCACCTCAGCTTAAGTAAGGAAATCTCTCACAGGCTTGCCCACAGACCAACCTAATCCAAACATAGAAAGTTCCTCATTGAGTTTCCCCCCAGGTGATTCTGTACTGTCGAGGTGACAATAGAAATATCATACTCCCTTTCTGAATCTTACTCCACGGCCTATCCAGGAAAGGGCTAGTGGTCTGGGCAGCCCCAGCTTACTAACAGCAAACAGAACACGCTTTCACCTGCCTTACTCATCAACAGTCCTCATCTAGCAGTTTCCAATCTTAAAGAATCGAGAAGATTCTAGAACTTGACTCACCAGCAGCCCCCTTTTTAGTCACACACACAGCCCCGACCCCGCACCTCACACTGGACACTCACCAGTGATGCAGTTCACTTCTGGTTGCATTCTGTTGATAGAGTAAAGTTTTCTCTATAGACCGAGCCTAATTATCTCTCCCAAGTTGGTCAGAGAGGGTCTCACACTATCCGGCAACACCGGAAGTTCTAGCTGGCTCTGTTTGTAATCTCTCTCCGAAGTGAAAAGATGAAGTTCCTTCTCTTCTCTCTGCAGGTTTTGATTTACGGAAATGAAATTGAAAGGTTCTTTGAACCTACTGAAACAGTTCAGTTCAATTTTATCACCCTCGATATGTTGGATGATTCTAAATGTTCTCAAAAGGATATGAGCTTGCTGGGGAAAAGCAGTGATAGTTCCAGCCTGAATGACTCCGAGCTCCGTGGAAGCCGGGAGCCCCATCTGGAGGAGGTGGAGGGACAACACTTAGGATACTCTTCGCATTTGATGGACAATGTCTGTGGTGCTGAGCGAAGCGACAGAAATGCTTGCCTAGACCAGCGTGAATGGCTTAGCGGCACCATGCCCACTCCGGAGGCCGACACCGAGGCCGAGTACAGTGTCCCAACTGATTTCTACAGAGAGGCCGAAGACCACCAGTTCTGTGGGCAGGAAGAGGCATCCAGCACAGGGAAATTATCTGAGCCACAGGCAGCTTCAGCAAACTTCGGTCCGCCTCTTGAAGACCTACGTCCCCTGGGACAGGAGCATCCTGGCTCAGGAGAGGGGCCAGAGGAAGAGTCATCTACAACACTGGTGGATTGGGACCCTCACACTGGCAGGCTGTGCATCCCTTCTTTACCTAGCTTTGGCCAGGAGCCTGTGGAATACCAACGTTATGAGAGAGAACGGCTTGCAGAGGGTGGCCTTTTGTCTAGACTCTATGAGAGCCAGGCACCTGACAAGTCAGAGGACGAACATGAGAACTATTTCATGCAATTTATGGAGGACTGGGGGTTGAGTGTACGAATGGAAAGCTAACCCCATATGTTTTGTTGGCTGACTTCTTTAGTGACGGGGCATGTGCCTGTCAGCAAATGAATGAACCATTCCAGGGGGTGAACCACGGAAATAAGTAGGTCAACCCGTGTTCAGATTCCCCAGCATTAGACATGACTGTCTTGTTTCTGTTCACGCACTTGGTTGACCCTGCCACCTCCAGATGGTTGACTTCTACGGGACCATCTTCCCAATCCACAGCAAATCCTGGAGTACAGGAACTTCCTGGAATACAGAGCCCTGGGCTTTGTTGTAGACAGAGTAAGCATTTCCAGTTTGGATGGGGAGTGTGTACCATGGTCAAGGTTTCCTATTTTCTAACAAGTACGCCTGTGCAGTTAGGTTCTGGATTTTTACCATATGCATGTAACTCTATCCAAATGTTTCATAAAAGTCACGTATTTTATAAACACCCCTTTTCTATAATTTGTTGATTGTGTGAATGTTAGGACGCTCCAAGATGTACCCATGCCACGAAGTGGATGGAGAGTGGTTAGCATATAAAGGACATAACTCACTGTGCAGTCGTGACAACCCACGCTCAGAACGAGCAATCAGGCCAGCCTTCATGCTTCTGTCTTCCATAAGAGGCAGTGTTTATCAGTTTTGGGGCAGTTTTGGAGTGTGAGCAAAATGGCTGTTCTTTTGTAGCCAGGATAACACCCTCTCAGTAATTTAATAGGGCCCTGTGTTGCCTAAAAGATCTGCCACAGTTTTTTAATAGAATGCCACACTTATTTGGGGGAGATGTATTGTTTAAAATACATTTTAGTAACTGTAAAATGTCCCACCCACACCTGAAGCGCTGAATCACTAACCATTCTACAGGGACAGTCAATACTGCCAGGTCTCTTAGGGAGATGCGTGAATGAATATCACCTCACTCCATAATAGTAAAATCCGTAGTAAGTAAACACGGGGCATAGGAAAGCAAGTTCAATGACTATATGAGGAAGGGTTTATTAAAGTTTGACATGGTTCACTCTGGGAGCTGAAGTACATCATAAAACACCTTCCTGGTAATTCCAGTAACTATTCCATCGTCTCCCCCATTTAATTAAATTCTACATCACACTACATTAAACACGACAGAATCTATAAAGCCGAACCATGCAAAACAATTGAGGTTTCCATGTTTTGGACCTACAGGAATATCAACGCCTTATGTTTTTGTTTAATTATGAACTCAGCCCACTGCGCGTCTTTCAGGAAGACAGATATCATCCTATTTCCTTAGTCATATGTTTGGCAGAAGCAGACAGCTCTGGTAGGAGAGATGGATTCTGGGGTCATGGTCTTTTGCAATTATCCACAAATGCAAACAGTTTCTGATTTAATGGTTTAATTTAGAGCATAATCATATTAATCAGAGTGTTCTGTTCTTCTTGGTCTTTGTAGAAATGATTCTGGTGGCTCGGAAGAACAGATTTATGCTACAAACTGGAAATGAAGTTCAGGAATAGAAAAGACTAGGTTGTTTTGAAAAGCAAAAAGGAAAATAATTGATGGTAGTTTGGCTTATTAATTTCATTCATGAAATATTTATTTGTTTATGAAGTGCCTACTACATCCATCAGTGTCCTCATCCGTGAAGTACAAATAAAAACTTTTTTATCATTGTTTTGAGGAGGAAAAGAGCTAGTCTTCAGGGGACACTTAGAGCAGGGCAGTGTGTGGAATGGCGGCTATGGCCTCATCTTTATTCTCTGCTGAGTTTGTGCTCAGCATCAGAGCCAGCAGCCATCTTGACACGAGAATGATGTAAATGTCTGCCTTGCCTAACGTGGTTTTTCTCACCTGAAAGCACAGTGGTGATTTGCTTCCTTCTCTGCACCGCCACTGAAATCGTCCCGTGTTGAACCACATTTTCTGCCTTTAAAAGAGGAATCTAGTTCTGGGTTGTCTTTCTGTCTCTTGCCATTCTAAGCGTATCAGAAGCGTACAGGGTTTCAGTATCTTGGAACATGTGAACATACACACAGAGGAAGACAGAGATGGGAAGAATCCCTGGCTTAGGATTCGACTTAGATGTTTCAACTAGCTCGTTGGCTCAAAGGTATACGCATTCTGTAGAAAATGCACACCTTCGATTCCGAGAGTTGGTTGCTCTCTTATCTAGTGATGTGCCATTGTTTCTGTTAATGCTGGGGAGTCACAGCTCCCAGTCAGCCCTGTGGTCACAAAGGGGAAATAGCTCTGTGGTAGACTGAGTTGCCGTGGTAGTTGAATTAGCAATGCTAAAATTTGAGTATCTCTTCAGGTCCACATGTTGAAAGGTTGGTCCCCAAGGCTGTGCTATTAAAAACTATGGGCTTCAAGTAGGTGGGGCTTAGTATAGGGCTTTAGGACACTGGGGATATACCCTTGAAGGGAATTGTGAGACCTAGGTCCCCCAGTCTTTGCTTCCTGGTTTGTGCTCCAAACACTGGTTTCCTTGTGCACGCTTGACCTAGTATGCGACCCTCAAAGAGGCCACATGTAAGAGACTGTCCATTTGTTAGCTCAAACCACAGGAATTGTGAGCCAAAGATCAGCATTTCTTTACTTTATGAGTCGCCTGTGCCGGGTCTATTATTGTGACTACGTGAAACTAATGCAGCATACTAAATTCATTTTTCAAGTTATATTTTCAGCCTATGATGAATTAATTAGTGAAATCAGAGCAATACATTTAAACAAGACTATGGCGTATTTCTTGTAGGGAGAAGGTCATTATGTCTCAGATGTAGGAGGCAGATGTCATGTATCCTTTCTTGTATAGTCAGGCCCCAACACCTTCTCTGGATCTTCATTGGAGTCTATCCCTGTGGAGGAAGTATGGCTGTGAAGAGGCAGGGTTCTTGACCAATGCCATTCAGCTTACCACTGGTGATCACTCGGTACAGGGGTTTATATACGGCTTCTACAATAGATTTCTCTTACTCATGAAGACATTTGTCACTGAATCTGTACCCATAGTCCCTCATTCCTAAACGCCACCACTGGAGCCAGAGAGATGGCTCAATGGTCAGAGTACTGTATGTTCTTCCCGGGGCCCCTTGTTCAATTCCCAGCACCCCCATGGCTGCTCACAACCATCTGCAGCTCCAGTTTCTGGGTGTTAGACACCCTCTTCAGTCCACAAGCACCAGGCATGCATGTGGTACACAACATATAGGCAGGCAAATCACCCAGACACATAAGAAATAAAATAAATACTGTTAACAAAAGAAAGGCGATTCCACCACTGAGAAGTGAGTGACACCAAATGTCGTATCTTGCCCGTGGGATGAGAGTGTGTAAAGGGAACTTGTCTCCCGGGAACAGGAGACAGAGCTGATGCTCTGGGCTGTGCTTACCTCAAGAAATCAGTACAGCAAGGCAAAGCTCGTTGTACAGCCCAGAGCGCAAAGCTACCCAGTGTGATCAACAGAATGAGGGCATTACACAGGGAGTTGATCAACTTGGCTGGGGGCGTTGGGTCATAAATCCTGTTCTCTCTGGCCCACACATTACCACCCCGCATCGTCCAGATGAATCCAAACTAAATTATCTTGGGATTGTTTTTCTCTTTTTTCCTCTTTGGTTCCTCACATTATATCAGCCACAATCTACAGTTGTTTTTCAAAGCTTTTTTTTTTAAAAAAAAAAAAAGTGCCTGTAATTTATAATAATAGTATGGCTATGGGTTTTTTAATAGTTTTTATTTTTATTGTAGAAAATTCATTAAGATACATGCAGATAGATGAGAGATAGATAGATAGATAATAGATAGATAGATAGATAGATAGATAGATAGATAGATAGATAGATCATAGACCAACTAGAAATGGAAATAGTTTTAGTTATTTATAATTAAATCCCGCACAGATTTATTAGGGCAGAGAAGCTGTTCTCAGTTGGGGACCATTGGCAATGTCTGGAGGCTTTGATTTTGGTTTTGATTTTTGAGTCTCACGATGCAGCCCAAGTTTACCTGGGACTAGGTATAGAATTTAGGATGCTGTAGGACATGCGGGCTCAAGTGGTTCTCCTGCCATACTCTCCCTGAGTGACTGACTCTAGAGGCATGCTCCATCACACCTGGCCTGGAGAGGGAGACATCTCTGCTAATGGAGATAGAAGCTGGGGATATTCTGCACAACAAAGCCACTATAACAAAGAATGACCAGCCCAAATTAGTCCTGAAGACCTTCCCAGAGTCTTGCATGCATACACTCCCAAATGAAGATCATGTTGAATCATTCTGTTAACTTGGTTCTTTCACCCCCCCCAAAAAAAAGTCTAATGAATTATTTTATTTTAGCTAATGATTACATTTGATGTATCCGCCTTATTGATGGCAGAATCAGCAGCAGAGTGGGGACTATTTTTCTGAGTTTAATATTTAGTTTTTAACAGCAAAAACAGTGACCAAAAAATTGGAGCTGTTAAGAGTACTTCATAGCCACACATGGTGGCTATGCCTGTAATCCCAGAACCTGGGAGATGGAGATGGGAGAATTGGGAGTTCAGAGCTAGCCTTAGCTATGTGAATTTGAAGCCATCCTTTTCTCAAAAAGATGGAGGGAGGTTCCTTTATAGATTCCATAAATATTCAGTCTGGCCTGGCTGCAGCAATTCTGAGCTGTATCTGTTCACAGCTCCCTGGAGTATCCCTGAAGCATCCCTGTTGGGTTTACCACAGAGTTTGCCAAACTCTACAAAGAAGTAAAGCAATAATGTAGTTGATGCTTTACTTTTCACTGGGACAAAAACATCTGAGAGGAAACAACTTAACCAGAGAAGAATGTATCTTAGCCTACAGGTTCATGACTGCGGAGACAAGGCACTGGGGCCCTAACCACAGCGATAAGGACTGTGGGTGTGGTCTGTTACAGCCCCACTGATCAGGAAGCCAAGCAGACAGTACTTTAGCCCACTCCTACAACCCCGTGTCTGCCTACCAGGGCTCCTGTTCAAAAGTTTCACAACTTCCCAAAACAGCACCACATGCAGGAACATGCATGAGCCTTTTGGAGACATTTCACATTCAAATCAGAACAAGCCATATGTGCAATTTAGTGATGAGACCCTGGTGCAGCCGGCACCTCATATACCTCATGTCCTTGATGCTAGCTTAAGCTAAACCAGGTACATCCCAGACTGGGTGACATCACCTTTGTCTCCACCACTTGATAAGCCCCTTAGTTCTCATCCAAATACCAGGATCCATTGTTCTTGCTGCTACCCAGGACCACACTTCTGTCAGTAAGTCCCGAGTCGCTTACAACATCTACGCTGTTCTGCCTGCCTCGTTCCTCAAGCTTTCAGGACCTCAGATCCTTTCTTATACACTGGGACCTGGCTGTTTTAAAACACATATAGTGTGTGCTTTCAATATGACCGAGTCTCTAAAAAGCATTGTTTTTTGA